GCTCCTTTAGTTTCATGATATATCACAGAGAAAATCAGCAGAAGCTGAATTTTAAGTACGGGTGCACTTCTTGTCTGCACATGCACTGCGGTCCCCGACGAGTATATGGATATGGCGGCCTGTCACTGGTTCACAAAAAAAAAGAAAAAGAAAAAATTCAATTAAATTTACTCAATTTGCGATGTAGGATAAGTTATCGAAGCAAAGTCCAATACTTACAGGCCAGTCAGCCGTCCCGTCTGACACCCCCGGGGTTTCAGTATTGTGTGCCTTTATCCATCCAGCCCGATATTGACGATAAGGACCCACTCAGCAGGCGCCGACATCCTCGCCAGGTGGATGCGACTTGCAGGAGATCACTCTGGAAACAAAAATGTAGCTTTTAACACAACAACTTTGAAGCGCAGGGTTGCGAAGTACGCACTTGTCTCGCTCGGCGCGGCACTCACCAGTACTCCTGCTTTGGTGTTCGGTTGTCTCATTCATGGTAGTCTCATTCATGGTTGTCTCATTCGTGGTTGTCTCATTCATTGTTGTCTCATTCATGGTTGTCTCATTCATGGTTGTCTCATTCATTGCTCCCCAACGCCCCGCTGCAGGGCTCAGCAGGCAGCTCTTCATTATCATCTTGCTCTTCTTTTTCTTCCACGCTCTTCTCTCTCTTGCCGCGTGCGACCCCGCGCTCCTCCTCCGTTCGCTTGCGAAGTTCTCGACGTTCGCGCATCTTCCTCAGCCTTTCTCTGTGCTCTTCCGGCGTCTCCTTTGCCAGGCGATTCAGTTGGTACTCGAGAGCCCTCTTCCGCCTTGCGGTGCACTGCTCGGGATTCTCGTAGTATCTTTTACGCTGGTACTCGCGGACCTTCCTCAACCTCTCCTCGCGCTCCTCCGCCGTCTCCGTTTGCATGCGGATTGCTCGACTTTCGCTCATCTTCCTCAGCCTTTCTCTGTGCTCTTCCGGCGTCTCCTTTGCCAGGCGACTCAGTTGGTACTCGAGAGCCCTCTTCCGCCTTGCGGCGCACTGCTCGGGATTCTCGTAGTCTCTTTTACGCCGGTACTCGCGGACCTTCCTCAGCCTCTCCTCGCGCTCCTCCGCCGTCTCCGTTTGCATGCGGATTGCTCGACTTTCGCTCATCTTCCTCAGCCTTTCTCTGGCGGCGCGCTGCTCGGGAGTCTCGGATTCTTCCAAGCAGCGCCGTCGGCGCCGTCTCAGAGCGCGCTGACGGCGCTCACGTTCCCGCCAGGCCTCGCGCTCTTCCGGGGACGCAGCCTCCATTTCGAGCTTCTTCCGCCGCCTGTATTCGCGCATTTTAATCCGCATGTACTCTCGGTGATCCGGTATGGAAGTGCGTTTACTTCCGCAGTAGTGGGATGATGGTCTACTGGCCTCGCTCTGTTCCGAAGTCTCGCTCTCTTGGCGGAGGCGGCGGTCGGCCTCGTCTTTTTGAAGTCGCCGCCTTCTCGCCCTTTCACGGGCTCTACTCAGCCTCTCTTCGCGTTGCTCTGGAGTCTCCCACGGCCGACCCCAGCGGTTCCTGACCGGGGGCGCTCCTCTCAGCCTAGCCGAACGCTCGCGCTGAATCTCTTGCTGAATTTTAGCCCACAAAGTACATACTAAAGTACTTTGTGTTTTAGCCGTGTCGGCGCTCTCTGCCACGAATGGCAGAGGAGGGCTTGCCCTGGGCGGTCTGGAGCGTCTGGGAGGTTGAGAGGCCGTCTCCCTGTTGTTGGCGAGCAAGACGTCGGGGCCTATTCCGAACACCCCGTGCGGTTCCTCCACATCGTCATCGTCACTGTCTGAGTCTGAGACTAGATCTACGGGAATTTCGACGGGCTGCTTCCACACTCGCCTGAGGTCGGCTCGGCCGCCATGCCAGCCCCTTGGTGGCAGACTGACGCACACGTCGTAGTGCTCCGCGCCCACCTGCCCGGCCCTCCGCAGGACGATGGGGTCGGGGCCGCGGCACAAGGTGACTTGGCGGAGCACGCCGTCCTGCACGACGGCCACGGTGCGGTTGAAGGCCTCCGCGGCCGCGCGCGCCTCCACGGCGTCGCCCCTGCCGGTCAGCATCATGTGGCGGCGGTAGGCGTCCGGGTCGGGGAAGCTCGTCAGCCGCCTGTACGCGGGCGTCCAGTACTTGAGGACGTGGTTGACGACGGCGCACCTCACCTGCTGGTGGTGCTCCTCCCCGCCCAACAGCCGGTCCGCGAGCGCACGGAAGACGCAGTTGCTGTCCTTGCGCACGGCCTTGTACCGGGCGCCGTACTCGTCAATGTGGGTACCAGGCGGGAGCTGCTGGGCGGGACCGCTGCTCTGAGAGACACTGCCTGCGTCTTCCAAGATGCAACAATCATCGTCCGACCCCTCTGACAACATGTCCTTGGCTTCGTCGAGCCCCACCGACAACTGGTCCGTCAGCTCTTGCTCCTCGGCAATGTCAACCAAGTCGATTTCCTCTGCTATCCAGACCGTGTGTGTTTCCAGGCCATCCGTTTCCGGTTCGTCCGCCCGCCCCTCCGGCGACTCGCCGATCTCAGCTCTGCCTGGCGGGTCCGCGAACTGCTCAAAGTCTCGCAGTTCCCTCAGCCTTTCCCTCGCCAGTAGTTTGGCGGCGCGCCTGGCACCTCGCCGCCGTGCAGCCACATCTCCCCCGACATCGTGATGCTCGGCAGCCTCGCTCAGGCTCAGGCTGCCTTCAGAGTCGGAAGTGCATCCGCGCGAGTTGTCGTCATACACCTCCTCGTTTAGCTGCGCGCGCTCAGAGTTCGCATCAGCCAGGGCCGGTGTTACCTGATTTTTACTGGAGTCCAGCTTGGCTAAGTCGTCTTCGCCGCCCTTCCAGCCGCCGGCCGGCAGGGTGACGCACGGGTCGTAGAGCACCGTGGGCGGCGCTCCTGTCCGGCGCAGGACGATGGGGTCGGCGTCGTTCCTCAGGGCGACCACCTCGAGCACGCCGTCGTGTACGACGGCCACGGTGCGGTAGAAGGCCTCGGCGGCCGCACGCAACTCCGTCGCGCCGCCGGGCGAGCCCTCCAGCTCCATGAACCGGAGGTACGTGTCCGGGTCGGTGAAGCGCGTCAGCGGGGCGTAGCCCGGCCAGTTGTCGACGACATGGCTCGCGACGCCGTGGCGCACCACCGGGTGGTGCTTCTCGCCGTCGAACAGTCGCTCCGCGAGCGCGCGGAAGACGCAGTTGCCGTCCTTGGGCACGGTCCTGTACACGGCGCCGTACTCGTCGGTGTAGTCACCAGGCAGGGGCTGCTCGGCGATGAGGGGGGCTACCTCCACGGCGGCCATGGTGCGGTGGGGGCCCTCCGCGGCCGCGTGCACCTCCATGGGGCCGTCGCGGGCGCCGTCCTCGTCGACGCCGGTCAGCCGGGTGTCGTTGAACCAGTTGTTGACGACGCCAGCCCACACCTTGTCATGATGGCAATCCTCACGTACGGTGATCGGGCGGAGGCCGCCGTCGTCGGCGTCCGCGAGGCCGTCGCGAAGCTCGCGCCGTTTGTCTAGCCAAACCTCGCCGCCGGCCTCTGGTGTCTCTCGTTTGACGGGCACCTTGTCCTCCGGCTCGCCGGGAGCAGGAGCACGGCCGTCCTCCTGTTCACTGCCCATGCCGCCGTCCGTCACTGACACGCACTAGACAACTAGACGTCACCAACGCCGGCGCACGCACCGCCGAGCACACGCGCGGGGAGGGCGGCTTGACTCTGACTGCGCCCGGCCCGGCGGCCCGGCCCGGCCCTGGCCCGTGGCGGGCCGTCGCGACGCTCCGCGGGGCGCGCGCGCGCGGGCCGCGGGCGCTGCGGGCGGCACTCGGCTCTGGCCCGACCAGCCCGACCGAGCCGAAGCCGAGCCGAGCGATGTGCGGGGCTGGGCGCTGAAGTGCGAGTGAGACAACGATACATGCGGGCCGGGGGGCGGCGCCGCGGGACGAGGCTCGGAAGGGGTTCTCCAAGTGGACAAGATGCAATGGCAGTCCAAAGTAGTAGAAAAGATGCAGTTGGTATACAAAGTTGTCGCCCTGCCAATTGTGTTTGGTGGACGAGCGGGAGCGGGCAACCAGACATTATAGGCGCAAAAGATAATGTGTTTTAACTTTTCACCCCTAGTCAAACATTCTGGATGAGACCCTACTATGAAAACAGAAATGTCCTTCCGATTCGGAGAAAAGGGCGGTGTACAAGGAAATAATTGGTGTCAATAAGCAAATATTATTATACAAAAATAAATAATCTACATTTATGTACATATACATTAACACGTACACAATTAATTGAGTGAACCCATGCTCTATCGGTTTCATAAAAGATTACATACAATAAGAGCAAAATTTTAAGTGCGGGGCACTTCTTGTCTCCGTATTGAAAGTACCCCACGAAGAACGACAGCCGCGTTGCGGTGCGTCCGAGAAGGACATCCAGGTGTAGTCAGCTTGGGGTGGGTACACTTTCAGGGGACGTCGTCCTGAAAGAGAAAGGAACCAACATTAAGAAATGTTGCCGATTAAGCGATTAAGCCCTGGGAAAACAAATTACAAAACTTATGCCACTGTACCGCGCTGCAGGAAAGCGTACGATAGTGCAAAATTTGTGATGGACAGAGCTGATGTCAACTTACCCCATTTTTCTGGGCCATTGGCAGTGACGTTTACCATCGACTCCGGCCCTTCTCGATCCCGGGCGTGGAGGCGTAGGGGTGGTCATATGCCTGCACAGAAAAAAAAAAAAAACACTATAAAACGCTATAAACGATATAGATATAGTATCGATGTAGGGAAGCGCACCAAATAAATTCCAACACTTACATATTGTCTTCCACTGCTTCCACGCCCCACCGACCGCGTTTCAGATTTCAGCATCCATGTCTCTGCGTGTTGCTATCCTCAGACTCGGTAGGCGCCGACATTCTCGCCGGTCGGACGGTCGCAGGAGATTACTCTGGAACAAGACGAGATCACTTTGAACACCACAACTTTGACGCTAGAGACTTGCGAAACTTTTGCCTCGCTCAGCAACGGCACTCACCTAGGCGCAAGCTCCAACGTAGTGCTCAGGTTGTCTCATCCAAAGTTGTCTCACTCATTGCTCCCCAACGCCGAACTCCTGCTCCGGTGCCTCTGGTGGTCCTGCCCCCTCTAGTGGCTCATCGGCAGCCCCCTCTAGTGGCTCCTCTTTAACCTCCGAGCTCTTCTTCTTCTTCTTCCTGTGGCGTGCCATCCTCTCCCGGCCCTTTCTCTGCCTTTCCCTGCGCTCTTCCGGCGTCTCCCCTTCTTGTGATTGCCTTCTCCACGCACGGTGGTGCCTCAGCCTGTGCTCGCGCTCCTCCGGCGTCTCATTCGCTCTGCGCTCCCTGTGTTGCTCGGCGTTTTCCCTCAGCCTTGCGTTGCGATAGTACTTCTGTTGGTAGCCGCGGATTAGTTTCAGCCTGTGCGCTCGCTGCTCCGGTGTCTCATTGAGAATTCTCTTCCGCTGGTAACTGTACAGCAGTTTCAGCCTGTGCGCTCGTTGCTCAGGTGTCTCATTGAGAATTCTCTTCCGCCGGTAACCGTACAGCAGTTTCAGCCTGTGCTGGCGCTGTTCCGGCGTCTCATTCTTGTAGGCGCGCCGCTGGCTCTCGCGCCTGCTCTGCAGTCTCGCCTCGCGCTCCTCGGGAGTCTCGCGCTCCCGGCGCTTCCGTTTGGCTTGGCGCTTTTGCTGCAGTCTCGCCTCGCGCTGCTCGGGAGTCTCGCGCTGTCGGCGCAGCCGTTGCGCCTGGCGGTTCCTCTCCAGTCTCGCCTCGCGCTCCTCGGGAGTCTCCAGGGCGCGCCGTTGCACAGCGCTGGGAGTCTCGCTCTGTTCGGAAGTCTCGCTCTGTTCGGAAGTCTCGCTCTGTCCCTCCGAAGCCCCGCTCTCTAGGGATTGTCTCCGACGCCGTGCTTCGCCCGCCTTCCTCACCCTCTCCTCGCGCTGCTCCGGAGTCTCTCTCTCCTGGCGGCGGCGTCGACTAGCTTCGCGCTTCCTTTTCAGCCTGGCCTCGCGCTCTTCCGGAGTCTCGTTTGCCACGCAGGAGCGCCGTCTGGCCTCGTCGACTGCGTTCTTCCTGGCCTGGCGCGCCTCGCGGGCCTCGCGCTGCTCGGGAGTCTCGTTTTCTCGAAGTTCCCGGCGCCGTTGGACATCGCGCTCTCTCCTCAGCCTTCTCATGCGCTCGTACGGAGTCTCGGCCACGACGTCGCTCTCAATCGTAGACACACTTTCCTCGCGTAAGCGCGCATATTTTTCGCGCTCTTTCTGCGCCCTGGCCTCGCGCTGCTCGGGTGTCTCGTTTTCTCGAAGGCGCCGTTGGGCATCCCACTCTCTCTTCAGCCTTCTCATGCGCTCGTACGGAGTCTCAGCCACGACGTCGCTCTTAATCGTAGACTTACTTTCTTCACGTAAGCGCGCATATTTTTCGCGCGCTCTCTGCGCCCTGGCCGCGCGTTGCTCTGGAGTCTCGTTTGCCCTGAGCTCACGACGCCGGTTGCTCCGATGGATATCCCACTTCTTCTTCTGCCTGGCCTTGCGCTCTTCTGGAGTTTCGGCCGTTTCTTCCCTCAACACGTCGCCGGTCTGAGGGTGTGCTTCGGGTGGCTCGTCCTTAACTGCCAGAAGGACGTCGGGGCATATCCCGAACACTCCCTGCGGTCTCTGCAGCAGGTTACCAGGGTCATCCGCTCTCTTCTTCGGTGTCTTTTTGGCCGTGCGCACGCTTCGTCTGGCTTTCTGCGGAGTTTCGGCCGCTCCTGCTGCTTCTCTCAACACGTCAGCGCCCACAAGAACGTCGGGCCCTATCCCGAACACTCCCTGGGGTTCATCAGGGACAGCCGCGTGTCCCGCTATTGCCGGACCTCCCTCGGCCTGCTTCATGAGTTCCCTGAGGTCGGCGTCGCCACCGCTCCAGCCTGACCGCGGCAGGACGACGCACACGTCGTAGTGCTCCGCGGTCGCCTGCCCGATCCTCCGCAGGACGATGGGGTCGGGGCCGTGCCCCAGGGTGAGCACCTCCAGCACGCCGCCCTTCAGGATGGCCACGGTGCGGTTGAAGGCCTCGCCGGCCGCGCGCGCCTCAGCGGCGCGGCCCGTGATGCCGGCCATCTCCATGCAGATCTGGTACGCGCACACCGTGGTCGAACGGACCAGCGACTTGTAGGTGGACTCCCAGTTGAGGAGGACGTGGCGGACGGCGGGGCCTCTCACCTGCATGTGGTGCTCCTCGCCGCCGAACAGTCGGTCCGCGAGCGCGCGGAAGACGCAGTTGCCGTCCCTGCGCACGGCCTTGTACACGGCGCCGAACTCGTCGGTCTGGTAGATACCGGGAGGCAGAGGTAGGGGCTGGACGCGGAGACCACGACCACCTTTGTCGGCCGTCTCTGACAACCCTGACAACATGTCCGTGCCTCCGACGGGCCCCTCTGACAACATGCCCGTGCCTGCGACGGGCCCCTCTGACAACAGGTCAGTGCCTGCGTCGGGCCCCTCTGACAACATGTCAGTGCATACGGCGGGCGCCTCTGACAAAAAGTCCACCTGCTCTTCCTTCACTCGAGCGTCGCTCACATCGACCTCCTCTTTGATCCAGACTGTGTGTGCTCCCATGCCCTGCTCTTGGCTCTGAATTTCCGGTTCCGGTTCGCCTTGCCCCTGCAACCCTTCACTTTCCAGTGCGAGTTGCTGTCCTGTACCAAGCAGGCAAGGCGTTAGATGGCCTTCCACCGGAGCTGCTGGTGACGGCGCAGACTGTGGCTGGGCCTCGTCTAATTCAGAGCTCGACGCAGTCGGCGCTGGTGCTTCGCGCTTCGTACGACTTCCCACGAGTTTCGGGGTTCCCAGCAGGGCGATGTCTTCTGCACCTCCACCCCAGCCGGTCGGCGGCAGGGCGATGTAGGCGTCGTAGTGCTCCTCGGGCGTCTGTCCGGTCCTGCGCAGGACGATGGGCTCGGGGTCGTCCATCAGGGCGACCACCTCGAGCACGCCGTCGTGCACGACGCCCACGGTGCGGTAAAAGGCCTCCGCGGCCGCGCGCAGCTCCGCCGCGCCGCCGCGAGCGCCGTCCTGCCCCATGTGCCGGCGGTACGCGTCCTGGTCGGGGACTCCGGTCAGCGGGGCGTAGGTCGGCCAGTTGTTGACCACGTGGTTGACAACCGAACGTCGCACCACCCGGTGGTGCGTCTCGTCATCGAACAGCCGCACGGCGAGCGCGCCGAAGACGCTGTCGGCGCCCTCACGGACGACGTGATACACCGCGCCGTACCCGTCGTGGTGGTAGGCCTGGTGGGGTTTGGCGGGTACAGTCGAATGCGCTGTGCAGCGTGCAGCAGAAGGTGTGCAGGCGGGCAGCTCGGCCGCGCCCCCGCCGACGTCGTCCTGGTCCATGTGTCGGCGGTACGCGTCCTGGTCAGCAAAGCCCGTCAGTTGGACGTAGGTCGCTCTCCGCACCTGCACTACGGCGCGGTGTAGTACGCTTCACAGTCAGTGGACACTAACACACACACACACACACCTACACACCGCGACCGCGACCTCGTCACATCTCACTCACACACACACACATCCAGCTGCTGCTGCTGGCGGCCTGCTGGCAGTGCGACTGCGCTGTCGCTGTCCGGCCGGCGGCCCGGCGTCCGCTCGAGCCGAGCCGAGCCGAAGTCGAGCCGAAGCCGAGCCGTGCCGAAGTCGTGCCGAAGCCGAGCCGAGCCGAAGCCGAGCCGAAGCCGAGCCGAGTCGAGCCACGGCCGAGCGCTAGGGGAGGGGAGGCTGGGAGGCTGTGCTGAAGTGCGAGAGAGAGAGAGAGAGAGAGAGAGAGAGAGACAACGATCGCACTCACGGCCCCGAAGACATCGTCCAGACTACAACCCACCTTTGCAAAATTTGAATGCGTGAAAAACTAATACCGCCTTTCGTTTGCTGTTTTCACAAAGATAAAGCAGTATTTTTAACAACCGTTTCATAAGCGTTACTCTGAGAACGACAACCAATCGTATGCCATATCCCCTCTCACACCTCCTTCCCCTCCCCCTTTCCCCCACCTCCGCCACGGCTACGCTAGGCCACGCCAGAGAGCGCTGAGCATGGTGCAAAAGTAAACAGAGAAGA